ATACCAAAAAAACCTAAGTTGTCTTAATGCCGCTGTATGTGCACCTCTCTCCTTTATGGCTTGTATAGCAGCACCTTCGACCAGGACAGGTGTCTTAATTTGTCATTTTTGCATACACAGTCCATCAGTTGTCGGATGAGATGTCACTAGTTTGTGCTGCAGAGAGAGGCTTTTCAGTTTCCCTGCAGCTCAACAGCTTTCAGTAGAGTCTGATTTTGTTTGTCTGTCAACTGTTGAAACCATCTCAAAAGGTTGTTCTCATCACTCTGATGTTTTAAACTCAGCTTACAATCACAGACCCAGTGTCCTTCTTTGTTGCAGTACCTGCATCTTCCTTGAGTTTTTGACTGTCTATTATCTTCTTTTTCGATATGCCCATTCGACATTGTCCTGTTGTTGTATGACATTGTCTTGAACCAGCATGTTCCAACCAAATTCGTCTGAAGCGTTCTTCAAACTCTTCAACACTTCTGCATACATGAGGTAATTTAAGCCCAATTAACCTCTGCAGGTTTCAGTTCAAACAAGAATGTTCGTACAGCTTCCCATCCAGCCTCAATGTTTTCTTGATACTCACCTACCCTGTTTTCAACACTTTCAGTTATCCTCTTTTGTTACTTGTCCCTCAAGTTCACATTAAAGGCCATTGCACACCGAGTCCGAAATTCGCATCCAAAATTTTTGCACGTTAAAAAAAAAAATTCGACCTCACGTTATGTCAATCACGCTTGCACACCGCCTCCGAAACTTTCGTCTGTCATAAAATTAACCGGATCGGGTTTTTCTGCGTTTTTCGCATCTACAGCCAGCATTTTGAGAGGTTTTTTTTTTATAATTCAGGGCCGGGGGTAGCTCGTTCCACACATCGTTCCACATGCGCAGTCCCTTCAGTTTCGGTTTTCAATTCGATCAAGTGTTTATATGTTCTCTCGATCGAATTAACCTCCCTGAAATTTCGGATCGATTAAGGTGTGATTGAGCAGCCAATTCGATAACTAATGTATTATTTGGGTAGCCTACAATATATAACCTGTAGCCTATACAGCTGTTCTGTCTGCCCAGCGTTTCCACCGGGCCGCGTGTGTGTGTGTGTGTGTCCACCTTAGACATACTGCCAGTCTCTGTTCAGGATCGATTGGTTCAGGGAAATTGGTGGTCTTGTTTTTAATATGTGGCTCCAGAATCACTACCAAAGTATCAAACTGTCCCACTGACATTCTGAGGTAAATTTTGAATTGCTCGGGATAAATTCGCAACTCCTTGAAAGGAGGTGGAACTCTCCTTCCTCTCGGCGCAATTTCAGGATTGGATGGACCCAATATTTTCTCTTGCTTCTCTTTTCAATAAGAGAGAGGGCAACAAAATCATCCTCACTGCTTGATGAATCCATTTTTTTTTTATTTTTTTTTTTAATAAGTATTTTTATTAGGATTTTAAATTTTACAAAAAAGCAAAAGAAAACAAAATACATTTAGATGTATACAACTCAATGAATGATAATATCAGCAGAAACAACAGAATGAATAATTATTAATATCATCCACCATTAATAACAATAATATAGAATTAAAATAGAAAAAAAAACTAATAAAAAGGAATCAACTGATAAATAAAAGCAACCAGGACATATACAGTTTCAGTAAGGGAGCACAATAAAAAATTGAGTGAAGGGCAGAACAGACGTTACTGATCAGAGTCTGCGTTGAACTGGGTAAGATGATCCAGAAATAGTTGTCATATGTTGTAAAATTTATCAAGGTTACTCATAATTCCATACCGTACTCTCTCCATGTGGAGTATTCCAGTGAGTTGAGTCAACCAGGTCTTGAACTGAGGAACAGTATCTGATTTCCAGAGTCTTAGAATGATGCTCTTGGCAATAATCATTCCATAAATAATAGTGCTTTGTACAGAGACACTATGGTCTGACAAAGAGAGAGAATATCCAAATAATGCAATCTCTGGATCAGGGTTAAGCACAAAACCATACATGTCAGAGAACCACTTAAAGACCTTACACCAAAACTCGTAAAGCTTAGGGCATGTCCAAAAGAGATGGGTAAGAGAGCCTTCTGCAGATTTACAACGGTCACATGTAGGAGAAATAGTGGGGAAAATTCTGTGTAATTTAGATTTTGAATAGTGCAGTCTATGCATCACCTTAAATTGAATTAACTGATGTCTAGAGTTAATAGAACAAGAACGAACCCTGCTAAGGCTTTCCTCCCACACTTCAGCCCCAATCTGAATACCCAGTTCCTCCTCCCAAGCATTTTTTAAGGAATGTGTAGAACAACTGATTTCTTCAGAAAACACAGTAACAAAATTTGAAATCAAATTTTTGGAAACAGGCGATCCCAACAACAGTTTATAAATCCTCTTTTCCTCTGGCATAGATTCAAAATTAGGCACTGCGTGGCGTACATAATTTCTTATCTTTAAATGTCGAAAAAAGTGTGTTGCGGGTAGAGAAAACTTCTCTTTTAATTGAGAAAAAGAAGCAAAATGTTTATTAATGTACAAATCCTCCAAGGTAACAATACCATTCAGCCTCCACATATTAAATGTTGCATCTGATAAAGAAGGGGGAAATGCGTGATTTCGATATACAGGTGCGAAAATAGCAGTGTTGGGTAGTCTGCAAACTTTCTTAATTTGACGCAATATCTTCAAACAGTTTGAGACAATAAAATTATCCACCTTAACAGATGTAGGCAATATGGTGTTTGTAAAGAGAAGTGCTGGAAGTGAACTATTTTTAACACCGTTTTTTTCAATGGAAACCCAGGGGGGAGTGTCAGTTGAAATTTCTGTTTTATAATCCCCCTGCCAATAAACAAGGGCCCTCGCATTCGCTGCCCAATAATAATGTAGGAAGCAAGGTAACCCTAGCCCGCCCTTATCCCTTGGTTTCTGTAGATGTATTTTTGATATTCTGTGAGCTTTAAAACCCCAGATAAAAGGCAGGATAATTGAGTCTAATGTTTTGAAAAAAGACTTTGTCAAAAAAATAGGAAGGTTTTGAAATAGATACAAGAATCTCGGCAGCGAAATCCATTTGGTATTTTTGTGCGTTTTTTTCCGCAAAGGTTTAATAAATACGCATTGGACTCAGTGTGCAAGGTTTCTGTGCGTGACAAATTTTAAAGCTGATGAACACGAAAAATGGGTTTAGTTTATTTGTAATCCTTCAGGACGAACAGATTAAATTGTTTCTTTAACAATTCCTTCAGACTCCAGAGAAAGGACCAAACTTATACTTTATTAATAGCTCCTACATGAGAATGGACCAAACCTCTTTCTTAAATGATTATGGATATCTTATGATCTTATTTTATCTTATCTTAATTTAATCAAATAGCATGTCTTAAATAATCTGACAAATCGTCACGGAATTCACTCCACTGCTAATACAAATATTAAAAGTGAAATCAGGATCATGTTTTGATAAAAATACATTTTGAAGAGAGAAGAAAAAATAAAATAAGATTTTTATATAAAAATTGCATTTGCTCACCATACTGTAACTGTCATGGTGTGGTTCAGGCAGAGGAACGAGGAGTCCGGAATATCTGTAAAGATCAGTTTTAATATATATAAAACAGGCAGGAAGGCAGGCAGGCAGACAGGAACACGGGCGCCACAAGGGCTAACAACAAACATCGACCGACAATGACTGAGTAAAACTGAGGGAACTAAATACACAGATGAATCAAACATAATGGGGTGAAAACAGGTGAAACAGATGATCAAGACGAGGAACAGGTGGCTGATGAGGGTGTGAACACGGGATAGGGTGACGAGAGGATCCTGGGAAGTGTAGTGCTGAAGACAAGACAGACTGGTGCAGACGGAGGACTGTGACAATAACAGTGACATTATTTAAAAAACATGGACATTAGTTAATATTTTGCAATAATTTCTTTAATATTATTTTTTTTGTAAATCATGTATTACTTAAATATAATTGTCCAAAATTAATTGCCATCGAAAGTAGAAATATTGTTAGGTGTAACTAATTACTAAGTAGTTACTGTAATTTAATTACTTTTCCCTTGAAAATGTAAAGTAAGGGATTACGCTACATTTATCTGTAATTTAATTACAGTTACTTCTGATGTAATTGAGGTAAATACTGTGTATAGATCAATCCGATCTCACAGCGATTCATATGCATTTTATGAGGTGTCTAAATTGTACGACCACACTCGTACAAATTCGTATGAATTATTGTAAAATATGTATGAAAAAAGTGTGAAATGTCTTGAGATCAGACATAAAACAAAAGTGGGTTTAACATCAAAATGTATTGTCTGTTGTTAAAAAGTATATTTTTATAATGTAACCTTCTCCACCTTGGGCTGTTTAAGGATAATTCATGCACTTTTGTAGTATTTATTTGAAAGAATTAAAACAGATTCATGTCTATCCTTGTATTATTCAGCTGGTTGAGATTGATATGGGATTTTGAAAGAAATTAGTAATTAAAAGTAATTAAATACTTTTTAGAGAGAGTAATTAGTACAGTAATCTAATTACACTGTTGAAGAGGTAATTAGTAACTAGTAATTAATTACTTTTTAGAGTATCTTACCCAACACTGAGAAATACCATCTACTTTCAACTCCATTCCCCAATCCACTTATATTTACTTTTAATTAGTGTGTGTGCATGTGTGTGTGTGTGTGTGTGTGTGTGTGTGTCCATCCTACATGTATACACAGACAGACAATTTCACACCTAAATATCTTTCAATCACATTATGTATACATTTATTTGCAGATTTGTACGATTGAGACCAAAACTTCCGTCACTCATTGTGTTTTCGAAGAAAACGCGATTGGTAAAAATCATTATTTTCATATATTCTATAATATCCTATGAGTTTTTGTGCTTTGTATGCATAAACAAAACATAGCTTTAATTCCAAATTAAATAATTTTATCTGTCATAAATAACAGAAACTCAATAATAAGCCTAGAATGTGGTGATTTGTGTTAACAGAACGCAGTGAGCTCCGCGAGCTCCGCGAGCTCCGGATTGTCCTGGTTGGAAAGACCGGCGTTGGGAAAAGTGCCACTGCAAACACCATCCTGGGAGAAAAAGTCTTCAAATCACATTTCTCGCCTTCATCTGTAACCCGAGAGTCTGAAAAGAAATCTAGGATTATTAATGGAAGAAAAATTTCAATTATTGACACTCCTGGTCTTTTTGACACAAGTTTGACTCATGAAGAGCTAGAGAAAGAAATTAAGTTGTGTATTTCTTATTCTGCTCCTGGTCCACATGCCTTTCTTATTGTTATTAAATTGGAAAGATACACAGAAGAAAATGCTAAAGCAATAGAATACATAGAAAGATTATTTGGTAAAGAGGCATTAAATTATGCCATAGTGGTGTTCACTCATGCAGATCAACTAGAAGGCCAGGACATTAAAACATTTGTGCGCAGTAGTCCAGAATTACGAGAATTTGTCAAGAGATGTAGAGGACAATATTTTGCGATTGATAATAAGAATAAGGATTCAGAACAGGTTATGCGGCTGCTGTATAATATTGATGAAATGGTTCTTGATAATGGTGGAGAATATTACACTAATGACATGCTTCAGGAGGCAGAGAGAGCGATTGAGGAAGAGAAACAACGGATCCTGAAAGAGAATGAAGAACAACGACAGAGGGAATTAGAGGCTCTAAAGTACCAGTTTCAAGGGGAAGAACTAGAGAAAATGCGAAAAGAAATAGCAAAGAATCAAGTGGAAATGGCAAGAATGCAAGCTGAGCAAAACAATGGTTTCTTTCACAATCTAGTAAAGATGATTAAAGAGATCATCAGTTCTTTTAAATAAATGTTTAGTTTTATTGTATCATCCCAATTTATGCTCTTCACTAAGATATCTCAGTATAATAGCAGAGGTTTTAAAACTATTTTGTTTAAAAAGCGGTATTGATAATTTAAGATCTGATTCTGCTGAAACATCCATAAAGTGAAGATAATTCCTGACTTTTTCGATAGTACTGTATCCCTCACAAAGCTATAAATGAGTCTGTCTCTACTTTCAAATTTAGAGGAAAGAGTAAGCTTGTTCAAATGCATTTATAATGTCTCTTATTTTTTGTCCATCTGTATATCTGCTTTTAAAATGAGAAGGTTTTACACTGTAAAAATTGTACTCTTTAGCTTTTAGCTTAGCTTACTATGTGTATGTAAACAGTCATGCTGTGATAGTTGGTGTCTTTTTCAGGGTTTTTTATGTCTGAATATTGAATATGATTTTTCTGTAACACATGCAACAGTTATACATATTAAAACATTTTGACATTGTTATATATCTTTTGCTTTGATTAATGTTCCCCTCTTGGACAATTGTGTCACTGCACCAGCGGTTATCTAAAGCTTGAGCAGAAATATCCTGCATTGCTGAACTGATGGATCCAATGAATGATCTGAGTCAAGTTAACAAGAGAATAGTTGTGAGATTTGCACATGCAACAACTCTGTGTAATGATATAATTTAGCTATGAGGTAGCGCTACCCAGGTGAAAAAAGTACACTAAAATACATTTTATTTAAGTGCACTTAGTACACTTCCAAATGTACTTAAAGGGGGGGGGGGGGGTTGACTGCGATTTTACTTTTTTCATTTTAAATAGTGTGTAATGTTGCTGTTGGTGCATGAACAGTATCTGCAAAGTTGCAGCGCTGAAAGTTCAGTGTAAGCAGAGATATCGTCTTTTAAAAATCAGGAAGTATAATGCCTACAAAAACGACTGGATTGGGACTACAGCTGGGTTATGGTACGTCACTAACCCACACATTTGCATCAACCACTCCCTCCGGAATAAGCAGAAAAGGGCATGGCCATATTTCAGCAGCTCCAGCTCGTCGAGTGTGTTGTGTTCACGCAGCTGTCAGGTCTTATGTCTTCGTACTTCATCAACAATGGATACAATTTATGTTTGATTATGTTCCTGAAAATTACGATCGTATAGCTCAATGTGCTGCGCATTTACGGAAGACTACGGTGGCCGAGAGAGCTCACCGCGCTGCAACCTGATAAAGACGAATTCAAATTCAAAAAAAACGTGTGCAACTACACTCTTAAAAATGGATGTGTTAAAAACAACACAACCTGTGTTATATCTTAACACACCTGTGTGTCTAGTTAAGGACAACACATTTTGTGTTACTTTTAACTCAACCAGTGTGTTATTGTTCTTAACACAGGGAGTGTGATTTCACTAAGTTTGCACTTTGAATTAGATTAAAATGTAGCAACTGACAAAATATTGCGTGTTTACTTATTTACAAATAAGTTTTATTTACACTGGTGCACTCTTATAAAATGATTTTGTAAATAACACAACCTGTAAAAAGAGATGTTAAAAATGACACATGCTGTGAGATTTTAACACATGTAGTGTGTGTGCTCAGGGACAACACATTTTGTGTAGATTTTAACACATGTTGTGTAGATTTTAACACATGTAGTGTGTGTGCTCAGTGACAACACATTTTGTGTAGATTTTAACACATGTTGTGTAGATTTTAACACGTTTTGTAGATTTTAACACATGTAGTGTGTTTGCTCAAGGACAACACATGTGTCAAATTTAACACACAACCTGTGTTGTTTCTTTACACATCTCTGTGTTTATAAGGATTACACATTTTGTGTTACGTTTAACACAACTAATGTGTTAGACGGCAGCAGTGTGTTGTTGAAACCTTTTACACACTAATGTGTTATAGTAACACAACTTGTGTCAGATATGCGTCACATGTGACTGTAGTCGGAGAGTATTTGCCAGAGTTACTTCCCGTGTGCTTACAAAAGTGTTTGGATGAACACTGACACGTATTGGTAACTTGTGTTTATGTAGTCCAGTGATGTTTAATATGTTTGTTTGAACATTTGGATGTTTTAAACATCATTAATCTACATAGACAAGCTCTTATTGAGAATTAACAGAGGTTTGATGTTTCATTTCAGTTTTATTTCAAGTCACCAGAATCGTGATTAATGGCTCCTTTATTTGGGCTCTTGACCCTTTACTCTTGTTTTAGTGTTTCTCTGGCTGCTGTAACTGTATTTTAATCAAATACATCTGTTATGTTGAGAGAAAATATGATCAGATGGTTCTTAATGATGTCATTGAGTGTATGGATGGTGTGCTTTATTTTAATGATGTATTGTTAGTTCTGAAGATTTTGTGAAACTACATCCAGCAATTAAAAAGTGCAGAATGACAAAAAAAAAGTTTAAAGCTACACTGTTAAAAAAATCTCCGTTAAAAAACGGAAAAAGTGCTGGTAATTAATTACCAGCACTTTTTCCGTTTTTGTACGGGCACTTCCGTAAACCTTAGAACGGAAATTTCCGTAGATTTACATGAGTTTTTCTGTACCATTGACGGACATTTCCGTCAAACCTAAAATGGAAAATTCCGTATTTTCTGTACTATTCACGGATAATCCTTATACAGAAATTTCTATTTTTATAGCATATATTTTGGTAGCAAATAATTCAAGAACAATATATACATATTGAACATGTTTTATTTTTCTGTAAAAATTTCATGTAAACATTCTTAAAACGCATTCAATGGGTAAAAATTGATATACACAGACAGACACACACAATTTAACAATGTGCAAAGCACCATAAAAAAGTGCTTGTTTTGTGGAAAAAGTTAAGACATTAAACAAACATGGGAGAAATGAAAAAAAAAAAAAGAAAACGAGCAGGTACTTGCACAATATTGGTGTTGTACCAAATAGCTCACAAAATTATTTTTAAAAAATGGAAAAAAAAAACCTTCATAAACTGTGAAAGTCAAGATTCAAAACATTTTCAAATGCAATACTAATAGAATACGATACAATACAGAAACAAACAAAATGCAATGAAGATAAGGCTTCTGCTTTTAAAAATTGCTTTAGACTTCTAGTCAATAGAGTGAAATGTTTGGACACATGCAGAATGGATGCAAATTGAATACCACACAAGTCCTCTGGAGGAAACGTCCAACCCAGTGTAGAATCCAGCGCATTGCACCCAAAAAAAGGATGGATTAAGCAAATCGAAGAAGATCTGAAGATCCAGCGGCTTGACCCACAGCAAGGCACGATTAGTCGCCACAGTTCGAAAAGCATAGAGACAAGTGATCGAATGAGTTCGAAATCCTGCGGCACCCACAGCAGCATACTGGATGCGAGGTCGTCCTCCCCAAGATGCCAGCTAGGGATTAAAGAAGAGTGAAATGTTAGTGTTGATGCCATTTTTCTGTAAGAGAACACAATATTACATAAAGCATAAGCTCACCCCAAAATTTTAATTTGTAATTACTCACACGCACGTTGTTCCACACGTCCTCACAAGAGTTACATTCATCTTTAGAACAAAAATGAAGATCTTTTTGAGGAACTCTGAGAGATTTCTGTCCTTCCATTGACAGCTGAGGCAACTACCACTTTCAAGTTTCAGAAAGGTATAGACACAAATGTAATCCATGTGACTCCAGTGGTTTAACCCCAAATTTATAAAGTGGCACAAATGTTTTGTTGCTAGAATCTTATCGCATCACATTTGGATAGGACTCTAACACTGTGTTACTTTTATTATGATCTTACTATCTTTCTGAAGCTTGAAGTGGTAGGTGTAAGCAGAGGGAGAGCTGTCAACAGAGGGAGAGAACACTCTCAGATTTCATTAAAGGGATAGTTCACTTTGAAATTAATTTTTTATATCTTTTATCTTACTTCTAGGGCATCCAAGATGTAGGTGCCTTTGTTTCCACAGTATTTTCAATTTTGATATTTTTAGGTCAAACCGTTCTTGTCTGTAAGTCATATAATGCAGGTTTATGGGGTTCACCCTGAAAAAGTGAAACTGAAAAAGCATGCACAGAGAAGTCCAAATTAAACATGATTCAATGACTCCTAAATGCAAGTACACATAGATGGCCTAAGACACGAAACAAGCAGTTTGTGTGAGAAAACGAACAGTATTTATATTGTTTTTACCTCTTGTAATCACAGCCACGTCCAAGTGATCTGAAGGCACAGGGCACTTCGGTCTGCGCAAGTGCGCCGGAAGTGATCCTTCAGATCACTTGGACGTGGCTGTGATTACAAGAGGTAAAAACAATTTAAATACTGTTCGTTTTCTCACACAAACCGCTCGTTTTGTGTTTTAGGCCATCAATGTGTACTTACATTCACGAGTCATTAAATCATGTTTAATTTGGACGTCTCTGTGCATGCTCTTTAGGGGGACCCAGGGTGAACCCCATAAACCTCCATTATATGACTGACAGACAAGAACGGTTTGACCTAAAAATATCAAACTTGAAAATACTGTGGAAACAAAGACACCTACATTTTGGATGTCCTTGAGGTATAAAAGATTTCAAAAATGTATTTCAAAGTGAACTATCCCTTTAAGATCTTAACAACTTGCATGAAAAACGTTCATTTTTCGGTATGTTCAGTTAAAGTTCCATTTTGAGATTTGACAAAAGCTTGAAACTTTACCTGGTTTTTCGAAGTTGTTCATACAGGAACTTCAGCAGTTTTGGAGGAATGGGGACGTTTCCTTCATCTCAGCCTTTTCAACCTTCGTTCAGGATTTCTACACAGGAAAGTTGGAAATGAAAAAAAAAAAAAGGATATATTTTTAGCTACACAAGAAATTAAATGAAGGAAAATTAACTACAAAGTATCATGTAGACCAGGTTGAGGTTGACAAACAAATGTACAGTATTTTACATTCACTAAATTATCAACTATAAAAAAATTATCAGCCATTCCTAATTCTCTCAAATTCAAACACTGTTTAAAAAATGCTAAGACTTTTTTCCAGTGGACTCCAATTGCATGTCATGTCAGCTTGTCTGCATGCTCAACTATAGGCTACATTCTAATATGTTTCATTATTTTCAACTAAATAAACAGAATCACAATAACATGTTCTATAAATAATTTGATTAAAAATGTGTTGCTTACCTTTATATGAACTCCAGGATAAGTGCCATATTCTTCAGGTATTTTGCATCTTACTGCCTCAATAGGGTAGGAGATGTGGTCAATAACTTCTTGAATGACAGCAACCCTGAATGTCCACCACCTGAAACAGAAAAAGATATTACTAAATGAAAAACATAACACGATCACTTCAAAAAAACGCTTTAAACATAGTTGTTTAAATCTTCCCTATACAATTTGTATTTCTACCGACCATGTAAACATAAATATCTTTGAAGGGGGTATTCAGCAACCAACTTTTTCTATAAACAGACTTTATTCTTCAGACTTTAAATTCAAATGCGTTTTGCCAGTATTGAACATTCATAATAATGCTAATAAAACAAAATACAAACCCATAAGAAGCATGCAGGTGGTGCTTGGGATGTAAACTACAGCAGAAAAGTCCTGTTAATAGATAAGAAAACAACAGAAACATTATGAAATGAACAAATGAGAAGGGAAAGAATGACTAACATTACAGGCAGAAGTTTAGATAATAGCAGTCATGCTAAATGTAAATTAATCTTTCATTATTTGGGGTTTAAAGTCGTGTGTGTCATCTAAAACAAAAACATGAAGTCTAACGTAAACATAACGTTAACTTACCTCATTTTGCAGAAAAGGTGCTGGTGTTTTCCTTGATCCAGCTGTAGCGGTCAAGTTACTGCATATTCACAAACAGTCTCTTCACGTTGTGTCTTCATGCCTTTCAAATCAAGCAAGTCTTAATGGCGTTTACTTTTCTTGACGATTCCTCTGGTTGCTTTTGCTTGAAGGCATTAAATTGCTCTAAAAACACTAGCTAACGTTAGAACTATCACAACTAGTTAACGGATTCGCTCGGCAAGAAATAAACCGCATCACGACAAATAAAAGTAAATAAGCCCATTACAACAAGGACACTACAATCGAGAACCTCCACGAGTCTTAACTAACTCTTTCAATGTGTGACGATATGCATAAAATGATAAACGTGACGGCTCCGACATTCATTTGCCTACCAGTTAATGCCAGATGGTAACTAAAAATAACGTTACGTTAACAGCTTATCAAGCAAAACATAATTTTCGTTTTTAAGTTTAAGTTTTACCACATAAGTGTCAGAATGGCTTCCACACACCCGAAATCCGGCTCTAAAAAGCAACTTTGCCCGCGGTCATCTGCGTGTGTAATGGCGGATGCGTCTTAAACTTTTCGCGCTGCCGGGATCTTGTTCCCACAATGCAACGCGAAATTCAAAATAAGGGTAAAAGATCCGTAAAAGACAAATACGGAAAAAATCCTTCACATTTATATGGTACATTGTACCGTATTTTTACGGAAATTTTTTACAGTGTACAGCAGAAACCAGTCAAACACAGATATCAAGAATCAGCGTATGGATCTCAATAATGGTGACAAACGAAAAGTTCCATGCCGCAATGCATGCTGGGACTTATAGATGAGCTTTATACTAGAGACATGAAGCTTTGCCACCATTGTTGAGAGTTATATGCTGATTCTTGATGTCTGTATTTGACTAGTTTCTGCTGCAGCTTTAAACTGTCTCTAAACATATTTTTTAAAGAATTATAGCATAAGGTAGCGTACACCATAATATAATTTAAACACTGAATATCTGTTATCAAATATAAGTGATCATATATAAGTTATCTCTTAAACATTAAACTTCTCTTGCTATGTTAAAAAACATCATGTTGAAAAATGAACATTTAATGATCTTTTTCCTCAAGATAATTTCAACTGTTTCAGATGTGCAATATAAATACACAGAAACAGCAAACAGAGAAACGAATGGTAAAGAGTGAAGGGTCAAGAGCCCAAATAAAGCTGCCACTAATCACGATTCTGGTGACATCAAAACAAACATTCAATGAATCGTCAACACAAAACCTGGTAATTCTCAATAAGTGTTTCTGTAGACGTCTGACAGAAATAAATTGTTTGTTATAATAAATTAGCTATTAATAACAAGTGAAATCAGCATTTGAAAAAAACATTGAAACCGATGCATGATGTGATTGGCTGCCAAAAACACTCATTAATCTGAAGTTTTTTTTATGAATTAAGATTTTATTTATTTATTGTAATGTATTGTTTCATTTATTTTAGAGCATGTTATGGGATACCATATAAAATATACTACCTCTAATTAGGTTCATAAACACAAACTTCCCTCCACCCATTAAAATTCTATCCAGTTACATTTTAACACACATTGTGTTAAACTTGTGTCAAAATACCATCAACACATGATGTGTGTTGTTTTTTAACACATCTCTTTTTAGAGTGTACTGGTAAGACCCAGTTTACTCCCTGCATTTAAACATAGTCTACTACTCCACGTGGTTTCTGGAGCAACATCACATTGGAAATGTGTTAATTACAGTTTATGATGTGTACAAAAAACACATTTATAATAGGCATGTATGTATGTATGTATGTATTTGAATGAAAATCTCTCTAAGTAAAGATTCAAACGGCACACTCACTCTAATATTTTGTTTTACAAACATAATACATACAAATATAATGCATTATAAAGCCCACATTAAAAACTTTGGCCCATATGGTTTAAATGTATATTTTGGTTTAAGTTGTTTTTTTGTTTTTGTTTTGTTTTTTTTATAAATGAGATGATCTAATTTTCTAATGTATATCATACAGTTTTCTTAAAATAGCTTACTGATCTGGACTAAAATGTATGTGCACTTCATGTGTGTTTTATCATAATCTGTCTTTAGTTCTTTTTAACTTGTATCTCATTAAGGTGTGTGTCTGCTTTAGGAAAATTAAAATCTCTGTCTCTAAACTTTTATAAACACCCATCTTTTGAACCCCCCAAAAAATCAACCATGACATTGTGCCATTATTTTATAACCATTGTTTCTACCACTATTCAACTTTAGCTTCTTTTATAAATAAATAACCTTTTTTGTGAAAAAAAATATTGTCTCTTTCTTTTAAATGGCCCTTGGAAATTTAGAAAATGGGTTAAATTGTGTTTGTCTTCATTAAATGTTATGTAGGACACTGTTCTAGCTGTATGATGACCAATTGTAAATATTTCAGCAGATATTTCATTAAGGATCCATATGATTAAGCATATCTCAAGGCTAAATATGGTACATAAATGTAACTTTATATACTTCACAACAACATATATCAGGTAGTTTCCTGTATATAAAACAGTTTAAAATAATTATGTCTTCAGTAGGTCGGTCAAATATCATTACTTTGTCCATCTGATTCAAATATGTGTATTAGCCTAATATTTTCAAAAACAAATCTTTGGCTGAGTGAAGAGTGAAGCCCAACTGAACATCTGGATGTTTTAATCCTTATAGTGCAAATAAATCCACTGTCTATAACGTTTATTTAAATAAACAAATACATAAAAATTAGTTCAAAATTAGCTCCAGGTCTGCAGCGGTTCTTGTCGGTTGTGAATGACAATGCGTATGTTGACGGACGCTGTGATGCGAGAGTCGAGAAATATACATTTAATTAATTAAATTCTCTCAGTGATGGTGTGTACAATGCAAGGAAATAAAAACATTCGGGGCTTTACTGAAAACAGCCCCCTTAGCCCACCCCTAGCGCCGCCCCTGTCTGCGATATTCTGTTGAAAATGGAGTTTAATCGCCCTCCTGTGGTGAACTGTGTGAATTACACTGCTGAACCGTATTCAGAGCGCCAGAGGAAAACTGCACAAAACTCTGCACTTACTTTGCATTTATTTCACATTGTTTGATAAATTATTAATTTAAAGCGACATAGTAAAAAAAAAAACTAGAAAAGTTTGCTTTTGTTTAATGGAAATATATTCTTATATCTGTAATATCAATTTAAAGACTCACGTCTAAACGCCCTCCTGTGGTGAATTGTGTGCATTACACTGCTGTTAATTATCTCATTTCTGTTAACCTTCAGGGATGGGCAGTATTTCAGATACATGTATTTAAAATACGTATTTGAAATACAAAATACTATTTTGTATTTTGTATTTTAAAGCCTTTGGAAAAAATCAAATGTAATTTGTATTTAAATACATTTAGGATGAGTATTTTTGTATTTTCAAAATACTCAAAATACTTTGAGCCAGAATCCTAGAAGATCAGAGGAAGGATTTGGACATCTTGAACCAGTATCCACTTATTAGACAGCTGTTTGTGAGGTTCAACACAATCATTCCCTCTTCAGCTCCTGTAGAGCGCTTGTTTTCTTTTGCGGGTCTAATCGGTACATTTTATTTGAAGGGGTGTGCATAAGACTGACATGACACTGTCATAAACATGACATAACACCTGTCATGAACATGAAGGAGTCTTTATGAATGTTTATGACTTTTGTCATTAAGTGTCATTCGGTAAATTATGACAATTTTAATGCAAAGTTGACATTGTTTAAAATGTCTTTGTTATGACAACTTGACATTAACAAAGACAAAAAATGTCTTGATTATGACAACTTGACAATAACAAAGACAGAAATGTCTTTGTTATGACAACTTGACATTAACCAAGAAATCATAACCTGTCAACCTGCCATGTTTATACCTAGTCCAACGTGTTCCACTTTACTTGAGGTAAGGGGAAATATTAATGACACTGTTGTTAAAACATTTGACAGTGTAATAACCCTTAATGACATCTTTATAACTAGTACAATGTGTTCCACTTTACTTGAGGACAAGTAAAATATTCATGTCACAGTTATAATGGTGTCATGACGGCCAAAGTCAAAACCAACCACATATGACAGTAATGTAATGTTAACGCAAAGCTAAATAACTTCTTTAAGTTTGATAATTAGACCTGTTATGACATTTGTGACAGGTTATGATTTCTTGGTTAATGTCAAGTTTTCATAATCAAGACATTTTAAACAATGTCAACTTTGCATTAAAAGTGTCATGTTTATGACAGTGTCAATTCAGTCTTATGCACACCCCTTCAAATAAAGTGTTACCGTTTAATCAATAGGCCACACAGACGACGTCTTAAACCCAAACTTTTTGAAAAGCTGGTGGTGCTAAAGGGAATCGAATAGATAGATGTCTGAAACACATAGGTACACCACCTGGAGGTAGGGTGACCACCCGTCCCGCGTAGCGCGTGCGCGCACAGCGTTTGAAGCCCAATTCATGCGTCCCGCAAATTGAGACCGTGTCACGCATAATCAATGCTTGCTGAAAAAAAAAAAAAAAAAAAAAAAGTCGGTCAGTCTATATCCTCGAGACCCAGGCAGCCAAACCTAGTGCCTGAACACGTTCACGTTTATGAACTCGTTCATATTTTGGGTGAACTGAACGTATTTTTTACTGCCTGTCCTGATGAACGTGGGAACTCGTTCACTCTGGTGTCTGTGAACGCACGCTCTCTCAGTTTAACTTCGTTCAATGGGGTGCCAGATTTCTATAGAGCCTTCCAGGTGAAAACCCGGCTAAAACTCACCGTAAACAGGGCTTAATATGTAGCGAAAAAACACCCAATCTGGCAACACAACCCACCAGCGTCGCACCGCGGCCGCCGTCGACAAAGGCGTCGTATGATAATTTAAACGGATTTTATAACGAGGTCGGTGAAAATGGGAAAAATCTTACATTTCTGTGCAAACTTTGAACTGAACTAGTTCATTTTAAAATGTGTGAACTGAACTTTGAACTAGTTCATGTAGAAAGTGAACTTCCCCAAGACTGGTTGCCACTCCCACGTGACCTGCTGACTAGGTTGATGTCAACTTTTTCATTGGTGTCATGACAGCGCAGCTTCTCGTTCCGTGAACCTCTGGAGTTGTGAGTTTAGACTTTTTTTCGACTTTTTTTAAAACTGTTCCTGTGGTGTTGAGCAACTATAATTCCCGTTAATCCTATAATTTTATATTTTTATTTATTTAAAGTGAATTAATTGTAATGAAAAATAAATAAAATTAAATAGCTAAAGTAAATCGTAAGTGGAAGTGCATCTGTCAATTCATTTAATGTTCAAAATATTCATCTTTATTTAGAAAAAAAATACACATTGGTTGGCCTATCATGAGCATATATCAGCAATTACACATGTTTAGGGAATAGGGCATTAATGTATGTAAGGTACAGTATGTGCTTTTTTTTTTTTTTGAACAATTATTCATGTACAAACAGTAAGGCAATAGTAACAGTTCTAGATATGGGTAAACCACTATCAGAGTCTGCCCGTGGGGTGGGGGCACCGCCGCGCCAAGCAGTGTCCCACATTGTCCCTCAGAAACATACCCCTTGTCCCCCCTTGGGCTTATTAGCAGGTGGTCACCCTACCTGGAGGAGCAGTAGAATATCATGTTTAAA